GGCCAGTCCACAGGCCCCGGGGTGCCCCACATCCAGGTAAGCAAATGGCATGTCTCAGTGTGGAGCTGAGCAGAGATGGCTGGCCTGTCCTCACTAAGCTGGTCGTCTCCGCCCCCACCCGAGAAAATGGAGGCAGCTCTGTTGTGGGTGCCTAGCCTGGTGTGGTAGGCGGGAGCCAGGCGGGCGGGGAGCAGTCGGGCTTCGCCCCGCAAGTGGGGCTGGGCTGGGGGTGACTCACAGAGCTCTCAGAGTTGGGCCGGTCCGGCGCGTTTCACTCCATTTCTGCGCCGGTTCTGCTGGCTTTCTTGGCCTTTGTTGTCTGGGCTGATCGCTTGTTCCTGCAGCAGGGCTTGGGTGCTCTCAGGAGTCCTCTTCTGTGTCGGCCCCAAAACCTCGAACCTGCTGACGCTTGTTTGTCGATGTAGGATCCTAATCTGTGTTTTTTGGGTGAGCAACAGAAACCAACTTATGTATCTGATGCAAAATGTTCAGTTATTTTTTTTATAAAGGTGGGAGTATCTAAGAGAACACAAAAGACTAGGATACAGTCAGCCCTCAGGAAGACTGGGTTCAGAAAATGGAAAGCCATCCGGTGCTTTCCCTTTCTCTCTCCCCCTTTCTTTTCTGCTCCACTTTCTTTACTCTAGACTTTGATGATCTGCTGAATGATTCTTACCCTGGTCTAGAATTAGTAATTCTGATTCCCTACAGTCATTTATTTTAAAAGCACAATATATTTAATGACACTGCTTGTCATTTTAACTTGGGGTTTACATATTTCCACATGTGGATGACCTTTGGATAGTAAGTCTGATGTCATTGTGGAGTATATTGATCTGTTCTCAACAATGGGTACCTTTTACACTAAGGTTATTTAAATGCAAGAGTATTGAATGAAAGGTTGTGTTCTAACCAAGATTGATGCAATACTAATCAATTATTTAGTATCGGGGTATATGTTGTGAAGTTTTTAAATAAAAGAAAGCATTGAAAGTGACTAATTTGAGACTGGCGGGGTAGCTTAGCTGATTAAGAGCATGGTGTTGATAACACCAGGATTCAATCCCTGTTCTGGCCTGTCGCCACAAAAAAAGAAAGAAAGGAAGAAAGATGACTAATTTTGCTCACTAATTTTGGGAAATAGTTTATTTTTGTAAATTATGGGGGGGTGTCTAATTTTAGCATGTCTGTGTATAGCTATTTTTCTAACGTTCTGCCCACGGGTAATAATGAGAGTATTTCTGCGTACAAGTGCAGAAGACAAAATGGGCGAAACACAAACTGCTTCCTCCTGTCATCTCACAAAGAACCTGCACATTTCACCACAATGGTGATTTTCGATTGATGTTTTATTTGTTGGTATATGTGAGCTTCTAATGAGAGAGAGATTTTTTCTTCCTCTTCATATGCCTGACAAAACAGTCCCAATCAGACTATATAATTCTAAATAATATGCTCGTTTTGATATTTCTTAATGTAGAAAAATGTTTACTGACTTTAAAAGGAGTGAGGGATTTAGTTTTTAAAAGGAGTGAGAGATTTAGTTCTTTCCTTAAACTCTCCCAGATACACAGACACACACACACACATACACATTTTCCATTTCTCTTATCTTCCCAATATACTTACATCATGAGTTTTGGTTTAATTATTCTATCAATTATTGTGTCTCTGCAAAATGAAATCATAGCTAAGCCATAAGAAGTGCTGTTGTTATATTTCTTTTTTATTCATTTTTCCAACTTTCACTAGACCTGCCACCTCATCCTCAATCTCTCTGCAAGATTTACATGCCCACCAGGTGATCCCTCCAATTCATCTAGGGTTGGTTTTCCCCCTCTAGGTTTGTGAGTGGAAACAGCTTCCCCTATTTTTAGACTCGAGAGCCTTACCTTGATGGTCCTCTTCACCTTGGTGACAGCATTATTTTAGTCCCTTCATTACATTATCTTGAACCACCTGAGTCTGTTTTCTGATTTTCTAACTCATAATTTTACAATCTCCTGTTGTTAATCAAATTTCTCACTTTTGTATTTCTAATATTATTTTGAAGTTTTTATTTTTGTTATGGTATTTTTAATTTACAAAATCTATTTTGCTCTCTGAATGTTCTTTTAAACAGTCTCCTGTTATTATTATTATTTTTTTAACTATTCTACAAGTTTGGAAAGTTATATAAATTCTTAGTTTTTCTACTTTCATCATCTCTGTAATGGAATAATAGTAGTAAACCCACTTCATGGAGTTGTGAGGAGGAAAATGAGATAGTAATTGTAAAACATTTGTGTATTATTTACATAGGGCTGCAATAACGAATTATCACAAATTGAGTAGCTTACAAGAGTAATTTATTCTTTCACAGTTCTGAAGGCCGGAAGTTGAAAAGCGAGGTGTTAGCAGGGTTGGTTCCCTCTGGAGGCTCCGAGGGAAACTCCAGCCAGTGCCTCTCTCCTGCTTCAGGTGGCTGCTGCCAACCTGTGCCTTTTATTGTCTTGTGGCAGCATAACTCCACTGTGCCTCTGTCTCCACATGGTCTTCCCTGTGCCTTTGTCTCAAACCTTCCTCTTCTTTCTCTTATAAGAACACTAGGTATTGGATAGCTTCATTCCTTTTTCTGTTTTTACATGAATGTTACCTTTACTTATTACTCTCTCTCTCTAGTAATGTTTGTTCTTATTTTTGGTTTTCTGACATTGATTAAATAGTATCAATAGTATTGTATTTTAACGTAAATGGTCAATCATTTTTAGTTTACTTTAATTTGAATCCTCCACACTTGATTTATTTCAAAGCACTTTTTTTTTGCAATTTTTAATTATTTTTATTTATGTCTTCAGTCATTATGGAAGAATTTTCCAAAAGTCTTTTTTATATCACAGGCTATGATTTTTCCCTATTCTATATCAAATATGAGCTTTCTGCTTTTAATCTTTTAGAATATTTTAATCTATTATTTTTGACATATGTATTTATATGATATTATTATAACTATTAGGATCGTCACTATTCCAGTAAATTTTTAGATGTTATTCAAAACCTATATCCTTTTACACTTACTAAGAATTAAAAATAGTTCTCAAAAGTACTCTTCTCAGATATTCAGAAGCTCATTCTGTGAATTTCCCCTTTCTTTTGACTCTTAGGTCTGAAGTTTTCTTTCCCATCTTATGCATATTCTTTTTCTGAAGGCGCATGTTATATTTCTCTTACTCTTTTGCCATTCACAAAATATATGGTTTTATCTAATGTTTTATGCACTGTATTTGTATGCAAATTGGTATATGTGAGGCTTAGTCTTAGAATAGAAGATTATTCTGAAAGATTATTAAAAGTGTTATGAGAATTTGGGGAGTGATCTGAGAAACACGTACAGAGATGTTACACTAGAAGACAAGTTTGGTTAGAAAATAGTAGCTGTCAGATTTGCTCAGTGTTGAAGTTCTTATTAAGTGCCATGCATATGGGAGGAACTTTCTAGAGGAGGCAAAACTTCTCCTGAGACTTGAATATCAGGAAGAGTTAACCAAGTAAAATTGGAAATGTTTTATAATGCTCATTAATTTTTTCTGTTTGAAAAGCAGTATGGTTCATCAGAAAGCATTCATTCCAAAAAAAATTATCAATCAGCCATTTACTACAGATTTATGTGCCACCCATAAAAAGACCACAGGTGGATGCATGTGGTGAGGAGATCAGTAACTTGTCTCATTCTAGTTCCAGCTCTTCAATTGCATCTTTATTTGTGGGCATCTGGTCTGCACTTAATAAGTGGCCATTCTCAGGGCACCACAAGGTGAATGTTCTTTCCCTTTTAGCCATTCTGCTATCATTTTAATGTTTTGCTCTCTGTCTCCAGGGCTTTACTGTTATCTGAAGTTTCTTGAGTGAGTGGCCTGGTGTTTGACTTCTTCAGTTCCCTTGAAGATAGGCTCTGGTGAAATTTGGCAGAAGGCAGGCTGGAGTGCGGGGGCAGTGATGGTGCATATTTTCAATATTTTAAATGTAGCATATGAAAGACAAACATAAATTTCTATTTAAAAGTAGGCAATTTTCCATTTACTGTATATTGTTAATGGTAAATTAATGATAGAATGGGTATATTACAAGTGGGGTGTAATTTTCCTCATTCATTCCATAAGAAGTCAGTAACTTTTTTTTCCTCTTTCTCCAAAGAAATATAGAATCAGACATATTGCAGGAATTCCAGAAATAAATCATCTGTTGAGTCTTGAGAGTGAAGTTTGAGCTCCTGCTGAGATATCCGAAGGACTAGAACTTAATAAGCAACCCGAAGACCGAGAAATGGTATTGCCCAGAGGACAAGACCACTGGTCCAATGAAGACATTCTGAGTTTACTGGAATCCATGGAGAATAATCTCCTGTTCAATAACAGTCATTTGTTTAAAACAACCCAATCACATCTATACTGGGAAAAAGTAGCTTTTAAAGATTTTTCTGGAGAAATATGTAAGCTCAAGTGGTTAGAGATTTCAGTTAACTTGAAGTTCCATGCTTTGAAAGAATTAGTCCTGGAAGCTAAGGAGCACATTAAAAATACCTACAAAAGCAAAAACTGCAAGAAACATCCAGACTTCCCAAAGAAGCCCCTAACTGCATATAACCACTTTGTCAAGGAAAACTGGCCTCAGTACTCTCAAAGGAACCCTGAGCTGACCAACCAGGAGCTGAACAAGTTGCTGTCTGAGAAGTACAAGGAGCTTCCAAAGCAGATAAAGCAGAAATATATTGAGGATTTCCAAAAGGGGAAGCAAGAGTTTGAGGGAAAACTGGCTCAGTTCAGAAAAGACCACCCTGATCTAGTTGAGGACTCCAAGAATTCTGGTGTCCCCAAGAGGAGCCAAATCAAAACCCAACAGAAGTTTCAGAGAAATGTGAAAGAAGTGAGGTCTCCTTCAGAAACTGATGAATTTTCCAAGAAGATGAAATTCCATGGAGAACCCTGGAAGCCCCCTATGAATGGATACCACAAGTTTCACCAACATTCGTGGTCGAGTAGGGAGCTGCAACATTTGACCCTAAGACAGCGGATGGTGGAGACTGGCAGATGCTGGCAGCGCATCCCACAGGGCCTGAAGGAACATTATAGCAGCCAGGCTGAGGAGCTACAGAAACAGTACAAGGTGGACCTGGATCTCTGGCTCAAGAGTCTGTCTCCCAAGGAATATGTTGCGTACAAAGAGGCAACCTATACTAAGCGTAAGAATAGGCCCACAACAGGAGGCCCAAACCCCAAGTTTAGACGAACCAATCTGCAGTCCTTACCAGCAAAGAGTCTTCAGGAAGGACTTGGAAAGGAGCAGGGACTGGAGGTTCTGGGGACAGCATCACCAGAGAATTTTCAAGTCAATTATCATCCCTCATGGGGATCAGAAGAGAATAAGAAGGAAGACGGGGAAGAGGATGATGGCAGTGAAGATGAAGGTGAAGAGGATGAATCTGAGGGCAGTGGCTCCAGCTCATCTTCCTCAGGGGACTCAGATTCAGTCTCCATCTGAGCTTTGTTCATACATGAAGGGTTGTGAAGCATGTATAAAGCAAATGCACTTCACAGGGCCTGGTTTTCCAAAGCCTTGCAGTTTCAAATATTGACCTTGCAAAGGACAGGAAATTTACCCCAGGCTGTATAGTCTCTGTTGTAAGATAAAGAATTGTAACACAGCAAGATTGCTGATTCAAAGACAGACAGGTTACTGATTGATATGTAAAGATACGGGAAATTGCTGTAAGAAGAGAATGTTTGCTAAAATAAAGCTTTTGTTGCAAATTGCATTATAGAATGTCATCTTACTGAATGTTACCAGCTTCTTTTGTTAAATTGGTTAAACTGTACTTAGCAAAATCCCCACCTATGTTATCTTCCTGTAACTTTCTGGTCTGGAGAATAAATGCAGGAGAGAACCCCAATTCATGGTTAATTTCCCAAATGGAAGGAATTCCTCTATCTTGAGGGTTCTGGGAGATTAACCCCTTTTCAGGGCTTCTCACTGCTCAGAAGAGATAGGCTTTGAGTAATCTTTGGTGGCTCTTCCACCCAGGGGAAAAGGGCTGACAAATCCATGGGAGGCAAAGCAACAAAGGGTTGAACAAAGAACTTTCCAGCAAAAGTTCAGGGCATCCATGTCAAGGTGAGAGAACTCTTCTGCTCCTTTTTACTTCCTTGCTTCAATATAACATAGGACAAGTTGGGAAGAAGGCAACTTGGAGCAATACTCTCTGTATTGGGTCCATAAATTGGGAGGTGAGAACCTATTTGGAGAATGAGTATAACTATGAGTCAGGTTGCCCCTGCCCTATCCCTCCAATATTACCCCTGGAGGAACTTTATGCAGTTAAGGCTCTCAGAATAAACAAAGCGATGCTTGGGATGTGGGGGACACACTGGATTAGACTGAATATTCCTGAAGTAAGAAATTTTAGTTTGCTCATTTTTATCCTGCCAGAGGTGGTAGGGGTCACCCATGAGCCTGTGACCCCACCTTCTCTGTGGAACTGTCTCCCAGGGCCCTGCACTGAATCTAGAGTGGGGAGTATTTGATGAGAGGTAGGGCAGGTGCCTTAAGAAAATTGTCACACACCTGATATCTCTCTCTCTTCTCCTTGAAGTAAGTAGTTGGCCATTCCCACACCTGGAAGTGGGCAGAGTCGTAGAAGCAGAGTCTATATGTGTAGTTATGTCTTAGCTCTTAGTGAGACTGTTCTTACTAATTAAAAAAATGTAAATTAGAAAAACAAACAAACAAAAAAACTTGTGTGCTTCATTAAAGTGATGTTCCACATAGAATCAATGCCTCATGGCTTTAGGCACTGGTTTTCCAACTGGTGTTTGTATTCATTCTGGACAGAAGTGCCAAATGCTTCCTGCTCCTCCAGATGTAAATNGGACAGGAAATTTACCCCAGGCTGTATAGTCTCTGTTGTAAGATAAAGAATTGTAACACAGGAAGATTGCTGATTCAAAGACAGACAGGTTACTGATTGATATGTAAAGATACTGGGAAATTGCTGTAAGAAGAGAATGTTTGCTAAAATCAAGCTTTTGTTGCAAATTGCATTATAGAATGTCACCTTACTGAATGTTACCAGCTTCTTTTGTTAAATTGGTTAAACTGTACTTAGCAAAAACCCCACCTATGTTCTCTTCCTGTAACTTTCTGGTGTGGAGAATAAATGCAGGAAGAGAACCCCAATTCATGGTTAATTTCCCAAATGGAAGGAATTCCTCTATCTTGAGGGTTCTGGGAGATTAACCCCTTTTCAGGGTTTCTCACTGCTCAGAAGAGATAGGCTTTGAGTAATCTTTGGTGGCTCTTCCACCCAGGGGAAAAGGGTTGACAAATCCATGGGAGGCAAAGCAACAAAGGGTTGAACAGAGAACTTTCCAGCAAAAGTGCAGGGCATCCATGTCAAGGGGAGAGAACTCTTCTGCTCCTTTTTACTTCCTTGCTTCAATATAACATAGGACAAGTTGGGAAGAAGGCAACTTGGAGCAATACTCTCTGTATCGGGTCCATAAATTGGGAGGTGAGAACCTATTTGGAGAATGAGTATTACTATGAGTCAGTTTGCCCCTGCCCTATCCCTCCAATATCACCCCTGGAGGAACTTTATGCAGTTAAGGCTCTCAGAATAAACAAAGCGATGCTTGGGATGTGGGGGACACACTGGATTAGACTGAATATTCCTGAAGTAAGAAATTTTAGTTTGCTCATTTTTATCCTGCCAGAGGTGGTAGGGGTCACCCATGAGCCTGTGACCCCACCTTCTCTGTGGAACTGTCTCCCAGGGCCCTGCACTGAATCTAGAGTGGGGAGTATTTGATGAGAGGTAGGGCAGGTGCCTTAAGAAAATTGTCACACACCTGATATCTCTCTCTCTTCTCCTTGAAGTAAGTAGTTGGCCATTCCCACACCTGGAAGTGGGCAGAGTCGTAGAAGCAGAGTCTATATGTGTAGTTATGTCTTAGCTCTTAGTGAGACTGTTCTTACTAATTAAAAAAATGTAAATTAGAAAAACAAACAAACAAAAAAACTTGTGTGCTTCATTAAAGTGATATTCCACATAGAATCAATGCCTCATGGCTTTAGGCACTGGTTTTCCAAGTGGTGTTTGTATTCATTCTGGACAGAAGTGCCAAATGCTTCCTGCTCCTCCAGATGTAAATAACTGTCACCCTTAGCATTCAGGGTAGATTGAGAAATACATAGAAATATATAGACATAAATAGTACAATATTTTGTTACAGTATCTGGTCTGTCTGAATTCATGCAATAGTATCATTGCTTTAATTATTTTGGTTTACTTGTATGTTTGAAAATCTACTGAAGGCTACTGCCTTCTCATTAGACTTTTCTGCCCGAATATGCCTAGCTATTGTTGTATTTTGTTGTCATGAATATTAGCATTACAGAAGTAGTTGTATCCTTTTGATATGAACATCATCGAGGACTGAGTGTTTATTTTACTCTTTCATATTTTATTGAATTGTTATTTATCAGTGTTTTTCTAGGTAAACAATAAGTTACAGAAAATAATGGCAATATTTATGATTTTTATACTTCTAATTTCTTTCTCTTTCTAAATGTGTTGAATGGAATATCCAGAGCAGTGTTAGCTAATAACAGTGATATGTTTGTGTCTTGCTTCCGGCTTTGAAGCTAATGCTTACAGGATTTGCAACCATGGAAATTGTGCTCATACATACATTTGAAATAAATTATAGCATTTTAAGAAGATGCCTATTTACTTATATTATTAATTGGTTTTAGTTCATAATGTGTTGTAGTACATTGAATTGTGTCCCCCAAATTTGATATATTAGAAACTTGGCCCCCACTGTTACTGATAAGAGGGTGGGAAATCCTATTATGATAATTGAAAGGTGGAGCCTCGAAGTGCTGATTAGATTGTAGGAGCACGCCATAGTGAATGGATTAAAAACAGTGGTCAAGGGCATGGTTCTGGGGGCTTTAAAAGAAGAGAGAAGAGAGTCTTTCTTTCTCTCTCTGCTCATTCTCCTTCTACCATCTTGCTATGTGAGATGCCTGGGTCATTACTGCCACCACCAGAGGGAATTTGGACTTCCCAAGCACAGAAAATGTAAGCAATAAATTTCGTTTTCTTAATAAATTACACAGTTTCAAGTATTTTGTTATAAGCAACAGAAACAGAGTAATACATGTGTATTAATTTTTATCCAATGCCTGTTATCATATATCAATGTGATTTTTCCTTTGTATATTAATCAGGGTTCTCCAGAGAAACAGAAATAATATAGAGGAAGAGAGAGAGAGACTTGTTATGAGTAATTGGCTTACACAGTTATGGAGCCTGATAAATTCCATGATCTGGTATCTGCAAGCTGGATACCTAAGAGGGCTGTTGGTGTAGTAGTTATGAGTCTGAAGGCCTGAGAACCAGGGAACTGATAGTGTAAATCTCAGTCCAAGGGCAGGCCCTCAATAGGTTGGATGATTTTTGGGGGGAGGACAATCTGGTTGGATGATTTTTGGGGGGAAGACAATCTACTATGTCCACCAATTCAAATTGACACACGAAATTAACCATCACACTTAGTTTTGTTAATAGAAAGAATTCTATTCTGTGCTAAAGAATTACCTAATACTGAGAACTTGTAACTTTTCAGAAATAAATCGACTTGGCTATGCTGTATTGAAAACATGACTAAAATTTATGCAATTCCTTCAACCATTCTTATGTCAGATATGTTATACTTGTGCAGCGCTTCTGAATCTATTTAGAAAATTTGTTACCCCTAAGTTTTCACATTGCATAGTCTAGGTTTGCATTGTTTATTTTCCTCCAGACTAATAAGACCTTAGGGGTGCTGGAAACAGAACACTATATATTTAATTAAAGCCCAAAGAATTCTCTCACTTTTTTCCCCAGAAAATTGAAAGAAAATGTACATGTGGGAAAGCAACTAAGGGGGGAAATCTGTCACATAACTGTTTCAGACACACAGACTAAATTATATTAATATTTACTCTCTTTCACATTGCAGAAAATTGTAGAAAAATTGAATGGTAAATACAGAAGGGGTTAACTATGTTCTGTAATGTGCATGATGTCATGGAAGACCAGAGGAAGGGCAGGTATACCTTCCTAACAGTGATGCTTGAGCTGAATATTCAAGGAGCTGGTATGTCAAAGAGGAGAAAGGACATTTCAGGGTTATGAAGTTTATATATTTAATACACTCATTAACTGGCTCTCATTTATCAGACTTTCCTTTTTCTCACATACTATAAATTCCTGGTTTTCCAACATGGCCTTCTCCGATTCCTTTGCTGTTTTCTTTTTCATGGGGATCTGCTTATTCTCATCTTAGTCTATGCTCCTTTCCAGCATGAACTTATCATGCCCTGCGCTTTTATCTATCATTCTTAATGGAGATAATATAAGTCACAAATTCATGTAAACTCCAAATATAAAAGCTCAGATCACAAAGTGATTATTTCATTGATGTTTTCATCAT